CGTATCCTTATATTATAAAATAAGGAATCAAAGCCAGCGTAGTTCTTATATTGTACTTCTTTTGAAATTTGGGGGGGGGGGCTTGGACCTATCTTTAGAAAACTAAAATTTAATTTTGCAATTAAATTGTAATTTTCGAAAAATAAGTTGCCTACGTATCCCGAAAGAATCAAAGCCCACGTAGTTCTTAGCGTACCTGATTTAGACTTTTCTAGCCACCCATGTTTGTTGCATCATCATCCCCGGAAGCTGCATCATCCGTTGACGACTCCAATATCATCACATGATCATCTTCATCGTCTTCGTCTTCCTTTAAACCTTGAGTTCTTCTTTCAGCTTGATCCCAATCTTTCTTACAAACACAAATTTGAATGCTTTCCGGAGTTAAGCGAGATCTTTTTTCATCTAACACTCTTCTACCTGCACTAAAAGCAGACTCGGAAGCAACAGATGAAGCGGGAACTGCAAGTATATCTTTTGCAATTCTCGCCAATATAGGAAAACTTTTTTTATGTTCTTGCCACCATTTTATAATTTGAAAGTTGTTGTTGGTCTCATGTTGATATGACAAATAATCATTAATAGCAAGTGTTGAAGAAGATGATGATGAGAATGATGTAGATGCTTTGTGTTTTTTTTTCATAACTTTATCAAGAAAACCAAATCTAGAATCGGAAGTGCTAGTAGTAGTTGGTGTTGCCAAATCAAAACCATAAATAGATGCATAATGATCATAAAGGTCTCCCAAAACAGATTTGCATTTGTTAATATATTCACTAACATCATAATCGATACTTAAACTTGTATAATAAAATTCTAAAAGATTTTCCAAACCTTCAGCTTTGACACCGGGGTCAAGAATAGCAGCAATTCCATAAATGATTGGAAATTCACTAAAATAAGTATGCCACTTACGTTTCATGCTATCAAGAACGGGACGAAGTCCATCAATCTTCATATGCTCTTCGATGGTGTGAACAACTTTAACACACTCAATTATGACTAAATGAACGTTAGGCTCATAAATATAAGAGAAAATATGAGTTGCACTATCAAAAGCATTTAAAACATCACGAACAAAAGAAGCATTAGTCCAATGACTTTCGGTTATTAACTCAGTAGGATCAACACGAGTCTCATTGTAAAGTTGGGTCAAAATATCACGATACTTTATAGCATCACTCAACAACTTGAAAGTAGAATTCCAACGGGTAGGGGTATCAATAGACCATTGTCTTTGCTTAAGACCTCTCTCTTTACACATAGCTATGTACTTTCTTCTAACTGACTGAGTAATCCTAATCCATTTTATAACTGTTCTAATTGGGTTTAGCAATGGTTGCAGCTCAGCGAGACCCTCTTGAACAGACAAATTCAAAATATGAGCACAACATCTAACATGCAAGAGACTACCACCCAACAACAAATTCAACTCGGAGTCATTTTTCAAATAGTCAATACACTTTGTGTTTGCAGTTGCATTATCAAGAGACAAAGAAAAAACTTTATTATTCAAGTGAAATTCTTTTAAACAATCCAAAATACGAACTTTGATGTTAAAACCGGTATGCCTTTCTTCCATAGCTTGAAAACATAGTATACGTTTTTGAATAAACCAATCATCATCCACCCAATGAGCAGTAATGCAAAGAAAAGGTTCGCCAAAACTAGAAGTCCATGTATCACTTGTAAAACTAACACGACCATCAAAAGTACGAAATAATTCAATCAAACCACTCCTATACTTATAATAAGAAGTTTGTGTATAACGTCTTAGGGTATTTCGGGGGACACGAGTAAATGCAGGTTGTAATGCAACTTTATTAAAATGCTCAACGTTTGCATTTTCACCGTAACTAAAAGGGTATTCATTAGCAATAACTAAAGTACTCATTTCATCAATCATTCTATCTTTATTATAAATGAAAGGTGTACCTCCGCCGGGTTGGTTCATGTATCCACCCAATTGTGTTTGGACTCCACCCCCCGAAGGACGGGGGCCATTTTCGAACAAGTCGTGTTTATTTTGCAAATGCCGACTCAAGGTTCCGGTTCCATCTCCCGTTTTCCAATTATATGACTTGACATTTGCACCTAGCGCCTTGCAAACTAGGCATGTACACGTGAACCTCTTTGGTTGACCAGGTTGCCATCCCGGGGGTGTGACCTCAACTCGTTCAAAATGTTTCCACACCCAAGAAAAATGTGCTCGACCTCTACTTTCACCGCCACCACCTTTCATAAATCAAATTATTAAAATTAATTTTTAAATGCTATTCATGAAAATAAGCTTTTAAATTTTAAATATTTTAATTATACTTATTTAAACGCATTTTTCATGGTAATTAACTAATTGTAAATCATAGAAAATTGGAAACTAAACTAACTTTATAATCATTAATAATAGTTTTTTTAAATATTCATAACAATAAAAATTTAATTAGAAATTACCTTGAGATGAAGGTTGAGATGTTGGTTGCGATGGAGGTGGCATAGTTGAACTTGATGATTGGTGGGACTCGTGGGAGAAATGTTGTGGTGGAGACGTTTGAATATTTTGCCTATCTCCTAAACCATAATCTCCATATTCATTGACAAATTGGTTTAAATTTTCCGTATTAATTTCATACGAAAAATTTGCACCACCACTCCTTTGGCTACCACTTCGACCACCACTTTGACTCCTTCCCATTCCTCCTCTTGAGCTCATTTTTTTTTTGTATGATTACTAATTATAATATGGAGAAGAACTTTTTTTTTTTAGAATCTTAAGAATACTAATAATAATATTAAGGAGATTTTTTTTAACAAAAATATAACTCTATATAACACTTGAGAATTTGAGAACAATAAGAATTTTTAAGTAAGAGAGAAAGAAAGCTTGAATTTGTGTGGAAATTTGAGTGAAATGGAATTGGTATTTATAGGAAAAATAGAATGGATGATCATACACTTAAAAAACTAGCCGTTAGATACAAAAAACTAGCCGTTAGATACAAAAAACTAGCCGTTTTTTTTTAAAAATGGATGTTAGGCCGTGCGGGCCGTGCGGGTCGTGCGAATTGTGCGGGCTGTGCGGGCCGTGCGGGTTGTGCGGGCCGTGCGGGTTGTGCCGGCCGTGCGGGTTGGGTGGGTCATGCGTGCGGGTTGGGTGGGTCATGCGTGCGGGTTAGGTGGGTTGGCTCGTGCGGGTTGGGTGGGTCATTCGTGCGGGTGGGCCGTGCGGGCTGGGTTGTGCCAGGTGGGTCGGGTTAGGTGGGTTCACGGGCTAGGTGTGTCGAATTAAATGAGTCAAAACGGGTTGTGCGATTTGGGTCGAATCAAACGGGTTAAACTGAGCTGGGTTGAAATGGGTTGTGTCGAAAATTTTGGACCCACGACACAACCCGGATTAAATCCGAGCTGTGCCGGGCTGTGCCGGATTGAAACCGGGTCGGACCCACGTGACCCACCAGCCGTGCGAGTTAGGGTGGGCTGGGTCCAACCCGGCCCACTGGCCACCTCTACCTCTTTATTTGTATATTGCAGGTTTGAATTTTTATGGTTTACAAATTGGCACGCCCAGTGGGACAATTTTCGCTCTTCATCTCCACTCTTCAAGTTTCAAAACTTGTAGATTTAATGGGGGCATACCAAATTTTCTTTCAAATTCTACAAGAAAATTTCGAGACCAAGTTGCATCCGATATCAAACCTCCACAACAGGTCTCGAGGGGGCATTTGTTGACACCGAAATTTTGTTAATTATTAGGTGTCAGATATATGTAAATAAGGAGATAATATCAAAAATTATAAGATATTTATCTTCTGAATCTCATACATTATTATCTTTTACTCTACGATACTCTATATTAAGAAGGTCGTTTATAGGGTTTAAGGAGGCTTAGATGGAACAAGTCACAAAGACCCCATCTCCTCCCTACTACCAAACATTGTAGGTATAAAGTATGGATTAAGCCGACAAGGCCCCGTCTTATAAACAAATATCAAGACCTAGCCCTTTGAAGAGAGGAATCAAGAGATCTACGAGATTTGTAACCCACAAATTATCAATGAAAATCATTGTTTCCGTATATTTTCTACCTCTTTATTTGTATATTGCAGGTTTGAATTTTTATGGTTTACACTGACAATTTTATTTTATTTTATTTTTTATTTTTTTGACAAATGTTAGTGAATAAAAGAGACTGAAACTTTGGAAGCGTACAAGCTGAATACTACGGAGTATATAAGGTTTTTTTTTTTTTTTGGCTAGGGAGTATATAATTGTTCTCCATGCTGAATCATCACAAAAGGTTACTAAATTAGCGGTCTCCAAAAAGGGAAAATGACAATAAAAAAGTTTTAAAGAGGGATGGAGCATGGAGTACTTAAGTCAAATTGTAGATAATAATGTTTTTCTGTCACATACTTCCTCTATTTTTTTAATTGCAGCATTTTTATTTTCACGGTCTTATAAACAAATTTTTAAAGAGGAGCTAGAGAGAAAAATAAGAGGAATCCATGTGGATAGGAGAGAAAGAAATGTCAAAGAAAAAGTGTTGCAACTAAAAAAAACGCAAGATGTATATAATTTGTACAGGAACAAAAATTAGCCCGAAAAAATAATAAGGTTAATAGTAATAAATTTAAATTATTATTTTTTTTGGGTGTTTCACTCAGTTCACCTCTAGGGCTAATCTGGTTTGGGGACCAGTTCTGGGTGGTTAGGTTCCAAATTATTATTAATAGAGTTGCATCCCATCTGACTTGGCTCAACTTGACTTAAATCATTTCGATCGAATAATAATAGAGTAGAGCAGGACTCATGAGCAGTTCTAAAGATCGGGGCCTAACTTGACTCAAACTAAGCTATACCATTCAAACAAAATGTTTGTTATACCACGTCTTTCCATTGCTATATTTTTTGTAGTTAATTCCCTTACTAGTCAACAAATCAGACATTTCAAATCGATGCAGTAGTTTATTACCAAATCATATCGCATCCAGTAATCCAAAATATATTAAAGTACACAAACTTTCAAAAGGTAAAACAATTAAAAGTACACAATTTCACTCATTGTTAAAATTCAAATGATCTTGGTTACACACAATTATGGTGAATAAAATGCAACAAACTTTCTAGAAATGTTGCACCCTTAAAAGCCTTACGCAAACCATGAATTATATAATTACCAACATTCATAGAGCTTAACATCAGTACGAAGTCGAAAATAAACATCATCTTCGAAAGCATCAGTCACCAATGTAGCAACACCCCTAGCCATGAAGAAATCACCAGTTCCTCCAATAACAGAGATGTCCCTAGCCTTGTTTGTCGACGGGTTAGCCCCTGCAAAGTTTAACGACCCCTTATGCTCAGTAGAGTTGAACACGAAAGAGAATCCGAACCAAGATGTAAACACGTCCTTCTTGTCGTATAAGTAGAACCCTTGGGCGCGCCCTACTGGGGTGGAGTGAAAATCATTTGTAAGTGTAATAGGATCGTCGAAAACCACTACATCACCAAACCGATTTTGGCCGGCAAAAATGGTTCTGTTACCCCAAGCGGGCGCTGCTACGATGGCTGAAGTGGCATTTTTGGCATTCTTGCCGTTGTAGACTACGTCATGGAAGTAGTAAACCATCCTCTTGCATGGTTTTCTAGGCCTTTGGGTGGTTTTTTGGGGGTTTTTCAATGCATTTGAGAGGTTTGTTAGTGAAAATAGAAAGAAAAAGAGAAGAGAAATTGTTAATGATTTGATGAGTGCCATTTGCCTTGTGTTTGAGGAAAAGATAGAAATGTGTATACAATAGAAGAGTGCGTATATTTGTGGGGAAAATAATATCTAGACAAGGCTGTTTATATAGTGTGCTCTAGGCCTCTAGGGTCAAGATAAGCAATCAAACATTTTAGGGAGTAATTCTCTTTCGAGGGAGCCTCCGTTAATTTTCAAGATAAACAAAAATCGTTTATTTAGTGATATTTCTGTAAATAAATTAACAAAATATCCTTATCAGCATTATATTTTCTTAAATAAATTGACATTTGTGGGACCTACATTTATAAACGTTGTTGATTTGTTTACAAAAATACCACTAGAGAAAATACTTTTTGTTTATCATGAAGATAAACTTGTATTTTATCCTTCAAAGCTTCCCATAGCCCTACATATATACTTCAAAATAATAATTGACCATTTAGGACCCCACGTCTTTTATGATTCTTATATATTAATAAAAAGACGTTATGTTGGAGTATTCCCAAGACATACTAATGTATCAATCATGCTAAAGAAATAAATGATAAATTCGTAATTGGTTAGGATTACAGATGACGTTACATTTAAATCAAAATAATTTAAGTACCTCCATGTAAGAAAGGATCCCCCCCCCCCACACACAGTTATTATAGTAAACGGAGAAGATAAATGATTGGATCACCATTCCATTTTTGTTAGGGCAGAGAATTACAATATGAGGAAAGAGATAATATAACTAACAACTACACACATGAAACATAAGAGTAGGGGTGGCAATATCATCCAAACACAATGGAAAACCATCCACCTTTTTCAAATATATCGATAAAATATGAAATTAAGCCGGTGATAGTGTTAGGATATATTGTTAAGTTAGATATATTTTGTGAATATATTTGTATATATATTTTGTTAAGAGTTTTTGGCAAGTTGAGTTAATGTTGTAAGCCTATATAATTAACGGTAAAGGGTCATTAAGAAATTTTCCCCTAAAATTCTTGTGGGTTTAACATGGTATCAAGATCCCTCTAATTTAAAGTTTTTTTAACGTTCTTTTTTTTCCATTTTTTTCCTGAACACAAACCCTAGTTTTTGTTCTTCTTGATTTTTTTCCTAGTTTTGCTTCCGCTTTTTGTTGCTAGTTTATTGTGTTGTGATGACTGGTGGTGGTGACGATATTTCGCCTCCCAAGGCCCCTCGTTATGAATCGTTTTATGCCTACTATCTCCATCAGAGTGAAAGTACGGGGGCTGTGATTAGCCCTATTATGCTGAAAGGAGATAACTATGGGGCACCCCAGTTGCTCTTCTTGAGAAACAAGAAGAGTTTCTCCAGTGGAAATTATGTAATAAAAACGCTTTGGGAATTGTAAACAAATAGTATTATAATTTGAATATTTGTTGGTTGTGGGTTCCACTAATCTGGTGAGGTGGACCATTGTAGACAGTGAAATTAACGTCGTTTCTTCAACATTTGTCAAAGTTATATCTACCCCCACCATAGAAATATCATCATTCAATTTACCAAAAAAAAAAAAATCATCATTCATATTCACCGATTTTCAGATCGGAGCAAACCAACAATTCCAGATCTGAAAATTGTCTTTCACCTCCACCGACAACACCATCACCTTCCTCTTTCGTCTTTCACCTCCACCGACAATAAACACCAACACCATCTTCCTCTTTCGTCAAATCGTCTACATCAACCACAACCACCATCATCGGCGGCAAACATAGGCGGCTCGCCGCCAAAATCAAATGAAAAACCCTATAACAAAGGGTAAAATTTATGGCATGGTCAACCCAAAGGGTAAGGGTGATCGTCCTCCATCGAAGCTTCGCCGCCAAAGCTCGAATTCCTCCATTGAATGGCGGCTTCGCCGCCTGAATTTAACGAAAAACCCTAAAGAAAATATTGAAATTAAGGGTATGTTTAACCCCTTATGTATAGGTGTTAGGCGCTTCTGAGCTTTCCCTCCTCCATTGAAGCTCTTACATACGAAGTCTGATCACCGCCGCAAACAACACCGCTTTGGGTTGTCCAAGTTTTATGAACAGAGATGGAGGAGGAACTCTGAAGGAGGTAAAAATTACAAGTTAAAACACTGAACATTCCGTCAAAATTGAGACTTAACGGCTTTTATCAATGAAAATATGCAGTCATACTAAAATGTTAGTTATACCCTCATATCCCAGCAAAAACGGACCAAATTACCCTCATGAGAAACGCTCCTTGTTTCTCAAGAAGAGAAACTGGGAATTACCCAGATAACTATGAGGAGTGTTCTCGTTCTTTATGCAATAATCTTCTTGCATGCTAAGAGAAAACTTGGTTTTACATATTGATGGAGATACTGAGGTGTCAGGCAAGGAATCTCTGAATATTGATAAATATGGTACTGTTAACTCTATGCTCAATGCTTGGATTGTGAATACCTTGGATGTTTCAGTGCGTTGTACAGTTCGTTTTCCCGACCATCTCAAACTTTATGGGATGACATACGTGATATATATTCCCTTGACAATGGTCCTCATATTCTTGATTTGAGGGCTCAAATTGCGGATTGCAAGCAACGTAATAGGCTAGTGGCCGTGTATTTTGGTGAATTGAGGAAACTACAAGATGAATTAGCAAGTTATTGTAAGTTTCCAAAGTGTAAGTGTGAAGCTGCCTCTGAATATGCCAAGATCGTTGAAAGTGAATTACTTCATCAATTTTGTATTAGTTTAGCCCAAAGAAGTTTGGGAGTATTGTGTCGACTCTTCTCAAATCATGATGGACTTGATTCTGTCTTTGAAAGTGGCTTACGCAAAAGTGGTGTTGGATGAGAGAAAACAAACTGTATGTGAATCTTAAGACCCACGCACGGAGTTTGTAGGGTTTGCGAACTCGAATTCTGCTCAAGGAAGGGTTGCTTAGTCGGCTAGTAGTAGTGGTGATTCTTGTATTTGTGATCATTGTGGCAAAAAAGGTCATATGAATTGAAGGAGAAGTGCTTTAATTTAAATGGATGGCCTGATTCCTTTACTTTCGGTGGGCGTAGAAGTCAGCGTGGTGGCAGGTCTGGTCATGGGGGTGGTCGCGGTAGCTGCGGTGATCGTACTGCAGACTCTGGTGGTCATGGGTTCACTAGAAAAGTTTGCAGCATCTCTCGGCAGAGTAATGAGCAGGAGGTGAATGACGAAGATTGTGGTTCTACTCCAACTCTTAGGAATGATCAATGGGCACAATTTTTAAGCTAATTGCTATAAAGGGAAGTAAATCCACTACTTTCTCGACATATGTTAAATCTCACGGTACGTATTATTTAGATGAGTGAATAATTGATATCGGGGCTTTCCCAGTTGATCTTGATGATTAACATATTTTGTCAATCTAGTGCTTACTCATACTAGCCAGCTCATACTTCTGCTTTGTCAGTCGCTTAATCACTAAGAACGCAAGCCTATCCTAAATCCGTTTACTAACAGTAACAATATTAGTGTTCAAGCTGCTTTTTCCATTGAAGCTACCACACCACCATCTTCATAATGTCCAAGTTTCATCCAATAAACCGACCATTGATACCATTGACACCACCAATTCTGTCGGCTTTGCTGCCAAATCAAATGAAAACCCTAGGAAGAAAAAGTGAAATTAAGGGCTTAATCAACCCAAAAGGGTAAGAGTGACCATTTTTCCTTGAATTTACTAACATATGGAGCTTTGTTTGGACATAATTCTTGCCGACGTTGGTGGATGTGAGATCGATTTAAGTACGAACACCACCACCACCACCCGTTTCCGGAGTCATACCTATTTGTCGTCCAGCACTAATTTCAGTTTTATAGTCACTGCTACACCCTCCATTGCCGGAACTAATACACACCCGCCATTGTTCATACTTTGAGAGAGAGGAGAGAGGAGGAGGGTGGGGATTTGGGGCTTTGACCCTAACTTTTTTTGTTAACGCCATCAAACCTCAACTAACACAATATTGCATAGTTGGCAATCTGGCATTATGAACATGTCAGCACATGTGCAATAACATTACTATCCTTGATTTAATGAATGAAAAGATACCATCACCCCTATGATTCAACCACTATTTTCCCATTGATATCAGAGCTTGAAACCACATGTCCAATAACTTGAGTTTGTTTTTAGATTTTCGTGTTATTATATATCTTGTTGGTTTGCCTAATGGGAAAAGTACTACAGCTACAAGAAGGAAAAATTATTTGAAGTGATGGTTTGATTTTAGAGGATGTTTTGTTTGTTCATGTATATTTTCTCACTATTGTTGATGATTACTCTAATTCTACATGGATTTATTTGATGGTTGGTAAACATGATGTAAGGAAAATAATTTGTGAATTTTATGCTTTAATCAAAACTCTATTTAATAAAAAGATTAAAAGTATTACGAAGTGACAATTCGAAAGCGTTTTTGTGACCATTTTTTGAAGAATAAAAAAAGAGTAATATATTGTAAACACAAATTTTAAATCTGCAAAATATAGACTCAAAATAAATGCAACAAAGTGTTAATTTTATTAATATGATAATTTTGGATACAATCTCTAATTTAATCCTTTGATTCAATCTCCACTTTGACTTTGACTTGTTCCACAGGCTGATGACTTAATTCTTGATTGATGATCATCGAGGCTTGATCTCGATCGAAGATAGTTAATGCAGAGCTTTGACTTATTGTTGATGTAGACCTTTGATGACTTTTTGTTGATGTAGACCTTTGACTTGAATTCTTGATTGAGGGCCAATGAGGCTTGACCTCAATCAATGACTATTTAAGTAGAGGTTGAACTGGTGATGTTCTCGATGATTTGAAGTTCTTCTCTCCTTCGTGTTGAGGACCATCGAGGCTTGATCTTTTCCATGGGTGATCTTCTAGAGTAGAACGACACATCGAATGCTTGTTGTTCTCATTCTAAATTTTGAGGTGTTTTCTCGATCTGGAAAGGTTTTGAGGTTTTTCTCTTGAGAGATTTAAAGTATTTGAGAGGTTTTCCTTGGAGAGGTTTAGGATTTTGAGAGGCTTGCTCTATTTTTTGATGTAGACTTTTGTTTCCTCTCCCCCAA